CAACAGTTCATTTTCTGTGAGTTACTTCTTGCTGGTCTCTAGTTCTAGACCTTCAACTGGCAATGAGAAATATTCATGCTTGGACTTGGAAGTTTTCATGTCAGCTCTACTTTATTTAAAAAAAGACCAATCTGCTTTTGAAGTGATTTCTACCAACCCAGACCAGCTACTAATTCCAGTAATTGTACATAATCAGTCACCTTTTATAATGATACTTGTTGCTCTAAAGATCTTCTATAGACACAGTAACTTGCTATTTTAAAAACAGGAATGAAGTGCCAATAATCTACAATGACCATAAATTATTCTGAATTGCTCAGATTTTCCCTAAGTAAACAGAAATTACAGTCTTAGCTTCTGGCGCAGTATTTGGAAGAGTGACTAAAGGAGTGACATGATATTCTGCCACACGACCTGACTAGTCCTCCTCAAATTCAATAGCTCAGTTTGTGGAGTAAATAGGAATGTTACAATGGTGCTAGCACAGAAAGGGTGCTCTTTTCTGATGTAAATGGCCTTGACCGGAGTATTAGATTGCCATCAAGTATGACATACAGATTGGAGTCCTAGAACAAATGTACCAATTTCACCTCACTCCAGTGGAACAAACCAACCCTTTTACTTATTCAGCCAACAAATGCCTGAGTTCTAAGAGACTTTTTTTTTTTTTTTTGCCCTAAACAGACAGCGCCAAAGCTGACAGACACCCTGTGGCACGATATAGGATTTGTTACTTAACGGTTCACTACATTGTAGCACTATCCCTTAACAGAGCTCAGTGTCTGCTATGATTTGGCTTTGTGTCCCCATCCAAATCTCAGCTTGAATTGTACTCCGAGAATTTGCACATGTTGTGAAAGAGACCTAGTGGGAGATAATATAAATCATGGGGGCGGTTCCCTCCATACTATTCTCATGGAAGTAAGTCTCATGATGGTTTTATCAGGGGTTTCCACTCTTGCATCTTCCTCATTTTCTCTTGCTGCTGCCACATAAGAAGTGCCTTTCACCTCCAACTATGATTATAAGGCCTCCCCAGTCCATGTAAGTCCAATTAAAACTCTTTTTCTTCCCCTTCTCAGGTATGTCTTTATCAGCAGCATGAAAATGGACTAATGCAGTGTCACTGGCCTCTAAGCAAAAGACAAGTGTCCACAAATGTAGGAACTTTTACAGAGCGGCAGTATTGGTATCCAGTAATACATGGCTTTCCCTTTCCCCAGCATCTAAACTAATCAAAGAAGTTTGGTTAATAACAAGAGCAGGCATGCAAAAATTTGGATGTCAGTTATCAGTATGCAAACAGAGAGAGTCTTGACAGGTCTCAACAAAAGCTCAGGTAATGATTTCATGAATGCTACCCAACTGGATAGAATCTACACTCAAACACAGATAACAACCTGTCTAATTTCTGTATCATTCCCATTTACAGCTGCAAAAACTGAGACCAGATGTAGTTAAGCAACTTTTCCAAGCTGTTTGTTACACATTCCTGTGTCACCACCTCCCTTTGCTATCAGAGTATTTATCAATACTCAAAGATAATCAGTCATTATACCTACCACATTGTTAGAACTGTGTATCTGTTACTAAGTTATAACCTATTTGTAAAGTAGAAGCCATCTCATTCATGCTCAACAAATCTTTGTTTAAAAAATGAAGGCATTTCTCACTATCCTACATACTCCTCGGCCCTCTGCATTAGTATTCTCATTTATTAGTTCAACAAATGTATACTAAGCATTAAACATCTATTACGTGGCAGGCACACTGTAGCTACCTGGGAAACAGGAAGTTAAATGTCATTAGATTCTCATGGAATGTATGCACAGGAGATAGACTAGTTCTGGGAAGAAACATCACCTGCTACGGGGTAGGTGGGTGAATGACGAAACCTAGTCTTAAGTCCAGTAGAGATTACTGGAGTTGAAATTCCCCAGTAGGCAGGGAATTTGCAAGCATGAGGGAGGGGCAAAGGGAAGGGGGAAAAAACCAAGAATACTTTACGGATAAAGGCCTCAAGTGGGGAAAAAAATGAGAATTCTCTGGTTGGTCAGTATTTCATGTTCTATGCCACAGATGACAAGGCAAATATATGAGCTTCTTCAATAGGAGTAATTCTGGATTTAATAAACAGAAAACAGCAAAGTTTAAAATGGGAAATAATAAGCTTTCATTTCTCAAGAGGCTCTCAGCTGTGAAAAAATATTTTGCTACAGTTATTATCTAGTCTGACTTCCTATCAGAATCTCTGAGCATTAAAAAAATCTGATGCCCATAGTTGATCCCAGACCAATTACTTAAAATCTCTGAAGATATGGCCTAATGATGGGTCTTATGAAAATGCTCTCCAGGCCATAAACTATAGTCAAAACTGACAACTGCAGCAACTAAAAGGCTAGGCAGTGCTAAACTGTTTCCTCAGTCTCTTTCTGAAATGACCCCAAAAATTCCCATCGGCTGACTTTGTGACATTCAAATCTTAACCTAAACATTCATCCTCAGAGAGGATGACAACACAATCTACAGCAGCCACACTCAGTTAATTCATGTCTACCGCACAGCACTCATCCCTATCTGACATCTGTCTTCTTTATTATCGTTAGCTTCTCCACGAGAACAGAAGTTCCATGAGACCAGGGATGTTGCCTGAATTGCTCACGGCTGTTATTTTCCAGTAGGATCTGAATGACTGTTTCCTAGATGAAGGAAGGAAGTAAACCAGAAGGCAAGCAGACATGCGAGGACCACTCATATAAATGGAATTAAACGAATAATATTTTGAAACTATAGTTCTGATGGATTTGGATTGGATATAATTAAGGCAGACTGAAAGCACATATTATTTTTTAAATCCTTAACTTAAAACTAAAGGCTGGCTTGAATTTCCAAGCAGAGGTCTACCTAGGAAGGAGACTAAAGAATATGAAATATTTAGTCCAGACTAGAGTCAACAAAGGTGTGAGCAAAACGTCTTCATGAAGAGGTAAAGGATGAAACTATAGCCAACATTTCCAAGAATGACAAAAAATAAAACAGGTTAAAATATAGAGCAAATTAGAATTTAGCTTAGGCATAATGAAAACTTTCAAAACAAATGCTGTGAAACTAGAATGGCCATCACAGATGAGACATAAAAGTGCAATCTCTGAAAGTCTCTAAGTCTGGTATGAAAATATTTCATTTGAATGGGTCAAGTACTAAAGGAAGATTAATATAAGAACAGTCTGAGTTTTCTCTGAGTCTTATAAATGCATTAAAATATCTTGAGTACTAGAGTTTTCTGCTCTGAACAAATTTAGATCTAATACCAGGTAAAAATGAGCCAAGAAGGATAAAATACTAGTAAAACTTAACCAAATCATTATTTTTAGACAAACAGAAATATGCTCATGCTTTTCCTTCTGTATAGAACATATGTTAAGGCCTATCGAGTCAATTAATAATTCAGGCATAAAAGAAGTTCTTGAAGATAAGCACATTCAGAGGTTACCTCCTACAACGTACACTTAAGTATGAGCTCAAAAGAAAACCTCTGAACACCAGCAGGACACACCTTTGTCAGCTTATCTGGACTGTCAATGTAAAACCAGCAAGGCACTGTGCTCTTCTCTCTCAAAGCCAGTCCTACTTTCAGCATCCCTAATTTCTGACAATTGAACCGTCTCCCCAGCCACTCAGTACTTAACCTCAAAGCTTTGGAATTATAATCATCCCCAGTTTTAGTTAATCACGAAGTCCTGTGAATCATTCCTTTGTAAAAAAGAAAAAGGCAGGGGAGAAATTTATCAATTAAAGAGATTTAAGAGACACATCACAAATATAATATATGAACCTTATTGGGTCTTAAGTCAAACAAACTGTAAAAAGATTATGAGACAATAAAAAAACAGGAAATATGAACACTGACTAGATATCAGGTGATATTTAGAAACACTGCTAATACTTTCTAGGTATATGATGAGATCATGGTTATGTTTTCAAAATGCCCTTACCTTTTAGAAATACATACTACAATATTGACAGATTAAGTGATATTTTTGATTTGCTCCAAAATAATTCAAGCGAGAGTGGAGGTGGAAACAGAGCGAAGGAATAGATGAAATAAATGCATGAAAATTGCTAAAGCCGGGTAATGGGTACAAGGGGTTTGATTACGCCTTTTTCTTTAATTTGGCATGTTTTTAAACCCCTATTAAGTCCTATGTCTATGAATGGATATATGTATATTTTCTGATTTACACTGCTCTGCTCTGCAACTGTTGATGACCCCCAGGTACCTAAGTACCTCAGCCCGGCCTCAGGGTCCTCACAGTCCTTTGGTTACCCTTTTTGCTAAAAACACATCATCAGTACTTTCCCTTCTAATCCTTTCTTTTACTGCTTCTTCTCCTTGAAATGTGCTTCTTCATCCTACCTACTCTTTTCTTGAGCTACTCCTTCCTTTCCTCTTCCACATCTTGTATAGTAAAAAAAAATCCATGTCCTCATAGGCCACTGACCAGATCACTGTATGCCCTGGTTTTAATGTAAAATGCCCCTAATCTTCACCTGGATCTCAAGTTTTAAGTAGAAGATCCATGCCTCTTCAGAGCTGAAAGCCTCACTCTAAGGAAAGCAAAGGTGTTTAGTTATTGCTAGCACAGTGGGTGGAAGGCAGTGGGTTTGCTCCTCTGCACTGGTCTTCACTCTGCAGTTTTTACAGTGGGCTACTCATACTTAGGAAACATCAAAGGTTTCATTAACAAGAGTCATAAAACTTTTTTAAAGGGAAGTCTGAAATATACTTAAATCTCACAATAATTCAATGGATTACAAGAGCAGGAGAGGCTATGGTTTTCATTACAGAAAGCTTAATTTCTGAGGCAGCAAAGAGATTTCCTTATTAACCCACTCGTCCTTCCTTCAAAGCTTCAAATCCAGTGCCCTGAGATAAAAATTTTATTAGAGATTCATTTTTCTATAATAAAAACAGACATATATGTGAAAATCAACTTTACCTTATATCTCATCTTGGGACATGAATGAATGTAGAAACCCATATAATAATAGCTGAGCTGAGAAGTTTTCTCATGGAGTTGCCGAGTAAAAGCAATTTCTCTGCCAAAAGAAAAAGAAGAAAGCTGAAGGCAGTTAATTCTAGTTCTGATGTTCCAAAATCTATGTAATTTGATGGTAAACATTTGATAAAATCTGATATTAAGCTATTGAAAAATTACAAATACTGAAAGAAAAACGACTTTTAAAACACTATACATACAGGACAAAAATGAGTATTGGAAAAGAAAAAAGCACTATACAATGATTTTTACTAAAGAAATAATAAACCCCTCTAAATAATATTAAGCAAATGCATCTAAGTTCAGGTTTTACACTTTACTGGGCAAAGTAGCTGATCTAAAATTCAAATAGCATAAAATGAAAGAGATCTACAGTGTCCTGTTACTGTTCAGCAAGCCCTATGGTGCTCAAAGAATCGGAGCTTAACAGGTTAAAAACAGTACAGCAAATTTTAGAAAACTCAAAAGCCAACACATTTCAGAAATAATATTATGACCATTTACACGCAAACACTTTCAGCTGTTATGACGCATAACTCATTCCTTTATGTAGGTACAACTTTAATATTTATTTCCCCTAAAACTAGAGAGTGGGAAATACCGTGTTACTTCACCACATTTTCTGTATTTGTTGGAATAAGCCAGATAACTTGAACAAAAAAGTTGTCAGTATCTCCACTGTATCGCCTGTGCATGAAGTGGTTTTAATTTGCATCCTGATAAATCTTGGCAAAGAATTTCATTCTACTTGGCCAGCTAAATGACTGACGTGAGAGTGCTAAGTAAAACTTCAGTACATTTCTAAAGTATGAGAAAGTAGTTTTGTTTTTATATTTGTTTCTCGAAGGTATTCTTTTCTTTAGTAGCAAGTAATGCTTAAAATTCTAAAGAAATGTATTTGTAATGCAATATTCTGTACATTTTTCTAGCTCAAGTTTAAATCCTTGAAGAATTATTACCATAAAAATTCATTCTTAAATTAAAAGTATTCCTAAATCCAACCAGACTAAACATTATTAGCCTATAACAGAATAAATCCTATTCCCAGAACTAATCCATTCTCGGGGTTCAAACTGAGGAAATAATGCACTGACACAAGCAAACACAAGACCACCAATTCCAAGAAGGCCCACCCAGCCTTGGTACCACTCCACTGGTCCTGCTCACCTTAGTTCATTTCATTACCTCTCCCCATCATCCTTAATTCTTTTCTTGTCATCCCCATGTGCAATCCACTAGCAGGCCTTTTGGGCTTTATCTCTAAAATATGTCATGAATCTGATCACTTCTCACCACCTCCACTTCAGATATTCTGGTTCAAGCACCATCATGGTGCCCCTAAATGACTGCAGCAACCTCCCAACTGGCTCTTCTGTTTCCGCTCTTGCCCCTCCATATTCTCCACAAAACAGGCCAAGTAGTCTTTTATAATATTAATCAGATCTCCCAATCCCCCACCCCAGCAGTGTGCTGGCACCACATATAAATAAAACTCAACCTCCCCACCATGTCCTACAAGCGCTACTTCACCTGCCTCTCTGCCCCTTGCAGAAGGCTCTCTATGTCCTTCCCTGCACCCGAGTCCAAAAGACTTTTCTGTTTCTCTTGGCCACCTCAGGGCACTAAGATTTGCTGCCAGTCACCTGAACTTCTTCCTACCCTCAGATATTTACGTGGCAGGTTCCTTTTTTCCTTCTTTTGCCTCTGAAATGTCACCCGTTCATAGAGGTTTTCCTGACCACTCTATATATAACAGGCTTCATGCCCACCACCACTAATTTTATTTTTGTCACAGTGCTAGGAACTATCTAAAATTTTATCTGCTTTATTATTTATGGTCTGCTTGGACAAACTGGAAACCTGTCTTATTCATGTCTATGAGCATAATTACATTTTTAAAATGTATCTTTCTAAAAATAAGAAAACAAACGCCATGCTCATGATCCCCAATTCAAACAGTTCTTAAATCTACAGGCTATGGATAAGCAGAGGCTGATTACAAAAATAAATTAATAAAAATAAAAATCTACAGGCTAGATTATATAAAAATCTAAAAACATAAAACTATATTGATTGCTGAACTGCTTAAGAAACTTAATTGAGGGGAAAGGTGTCACCAAAATGCATTAAAATCAATAATGGAATTAGCAACTGGTAACCTACTTTCTCCAATTTTGCTTCAAGATGTCAATCTCCCGGCTGCCTTTCCTTTTCTATAAACTCCTGAACTCCTATTCTCAAGAGCACCAAAAGGAAGTGACAAGACTACAAAACAGTTGCAACCAGGCCACTCTCACCTGGCAGACCTTTCATGACCTCAGGCTCCTCCTCAGCTCCTTCACGTCTCTCCAGCTCTAGTGTTTGCAGGGATATACTAGGCGATCAATATAACTCTTGCTAATTTTGCTGGGAATTAATTATTTACCATCTCAATATCTAAATCATCTCTCAGTTTACTGAACCATGAAGTATTTCATACATAGGCCAGAGCTTATTATGTAGAAATAAATCTCACCCTTAAAAATCCATGGGAGAAGTCTAAAAAAAATCTATAACACACTGTAAAGTGATAACACAAAAACAAAACAAAACAAAAAAACTAGCAATTATTTCAAAGTATTGACTAATTTGGTCATAAAGAAAATATATCTTTTCTGAAAGAAAACTTCTGAAGTTATATAATAATCATAAAATCTAAAGTTATAAAACATGAATGCTTCAAATTCTCAGTTTCAATTTCAGTGAGAGCACCAACAGCCATAAGCATTTTTTAACTGCTTTATACAAAAATGTGATTAAATACGTAAGAATAAAAGACTGTTACAGATATCCATTATAAATATTATGTAACCGTGGATTTGTTATAAACTGGCATTAAGGAAAAAGTCAAGTTGAAAATGCTAAAATGAAAAACTTGATATTGTGGGCCACTGAAACACACACAAAAAAATCAACTGTGGACCAGATTTTTTTTTTTAATTAAATTTCTAAGTTAAAGAAAAATTTCAACTCTTTTATAATTCATAAAAAAGCACATACAGTACATTTTACTATAATGTGAAAATGTGACCATCAGACATGAAGACTGAAAAATGAAGAGAGAAAAGTATGACACAATAGTAAAGAGTGAGAAAAAGACTCAACCTCCCAAACAAAAGGAAAATGGTTTCCAACCCTCCTTCCCTCCTCTGCCACATATACACACAATCAGAAATAAATACAGAAAACTGGAGTATGACTCTAATCTTCTCACCACTAAAAATATTTTCTGCTGCATACATATTTCAAGCCATGGAAATTATCTTTTAATGAGGGTCATAAATTCAAGCAGACCGCCAGGGATTCCCCAGGCCCGTTCTGTATACATGCATATTTCTTCCAGTAGACTCATATTACTTTGATTCATTTATACCACATTAATTTAACTTTTAATTAATAGTAAAAAATATAAAGCTGAATGCAGTGGTGCAAGCCTGCAATTCCAGCTACCTGAAAGGCTGGAGGAGGATCACTTGAGCCCAGGAGTTCAAGACCAACCTGGGCAGCATAGCAAGACCCCATCTCATTTGAAAAAGAAAAAAGAAAGTAGAAACTGGTGATGACAAGAATATGTATAATATAACACTCAAGGAATATAAGTAGTTCTGATGGAGAGCATTAATAAATGTATAAACAAAGAAAGCTACCCACAAATACAATGACTTCTATATGGATACCTTAAAAAGCTAGAGAATTGGCCAGGCTCATGCCTGTAATCCCAGCTCTTTGAGAGGCCGAGGCGGGCGGATCACAAGGTCAAGAGATTGAGACCATCCTGGCCAACATGGTGAAACCCCGTCTCTACTAAAAATACAGAAATTAGTTGGGCATGCTGGTGTGCACCCGTAATACCAGCTACTTGGGAAGCTGAGTCAGGAGAACTGCATGAACCTGGGAGGCAGAGGCTGCAGTGAGCCAAGATCACACCACTGAACTCCAACCTGGCAACAGAGTGAGACCCCGTTTCAAAAAAAAAATAGCTAGAGAATTACCATCAGGCACTGGCATCAGTTCTAAAGGTAATACCTTCTAAATACAGTAAAAACTACTATATATTATAGATACTAGTTATACATAGTATTTATTTCCTATAAATACAATTAGTTAAATGACTAGTTTATATACAATGTATTTTATATATACAATTAGTTAAGTGACTAGTTATATATACAACTAAATTTTAAAATTCAATGATTTTAAATATACTAATTGTTCGTAAATGAAAATTATAAATTATATATCATTATATATTCTATAGTATATTTAACTCTCATACAGAATACCTATAATATAGTAGCATATGTTCTACATAAGAGACTAGCAACAAATTATTATAATACACTGTCAAATACAACTTCTACTGTTATATAATTAAATACAATCACATGAGTAATTATTTGAAGTTCTATATAACCACTACAATACTGGCAAAAAACAATCTTACCGTAGTGCAGAGTAGACACCCAAAGACAAAAATGAATAATCAGGATCGTAGTACAAATACACAGATGATACACAGTTTGGGAGGATGTCAATCACCCCCACAGCAATGATCTTTCCGTCAAGCCAGTACTGCTGGTGAAATGAGCCATAGCCACAATCTGGCCCATTAGGGGGAGTCTCTGCCTAAGAAAAAGCAGAGGCACAAAAACAAACAGCCATTTTTTAAGCATCAAAATAATCTTATAATTCATATATTTTTATTTTCCTCAGGTTAGTAAGTCCTAAACTTTCCTCTTTGTTTCCATCACAAAACTTTTCGTTGTAGAAATACTGAGTAAATACAAAATTCAAAAAAAGAAATCAAATTATGTTTTCTTCAATTTACTTAATACTTGACAGTAGGAAACATAACATTTTACAAGGGAAGAAAATCACTATTAAACTATGTTCTTCCATTTCTATACTACTTAGCCATAAAAAAGGAACAAAATAATGGCATTCTCAGCAACCTGAAAGGAGATGGAGACCATTATTCTAAGTAAAGTAACCCAAGAATGGAAAACCAAATATCATATGTTCTCACTTATAAGAGGGAGCTAAGCCGTGAGGACACAAAAAGGTAAGAATGACACAATGAACTTTGGGGCCTTAAAGGGAAGGGCGAGAGGCGGGTGAGGGCTAAAAGACTAAACATTGAGTACAGTGTACACTGCTTGGGAGATGGGTGAACCAAAATCTCAGAATCACCACTAAAGAGCTTATCCAAACAATACCTGTTCCCCAAAAACCTACTGAAATAAAATAAAAAGAAATAAAAAAATAAAAACTATGTTCTTCTATTACACACAAAGGTTAGGAAAGAAATGCATGAGAAAAATATGAGGAACATAAAAGCAAAGGGTGGGGTGAGACACTGCCAGTCATGCCTGTTCAGTGAGTGCCTCAGCTCTGAGAAGGTACACAATCCCCTTATTTTTTCTAGGTAAGAGTTATTGTGTAAGTACAAAGGACTACAACACTTCTCCTTATTAGCTAAAGGAAAACAAAGTTTTTCTTCATTATTATCTCAATTTAACTATAACTTCACAGGAAAAATCTAGAGATTTCAGAGTATAACCACCTTCCTGTAAATATAGCTAGTTAAATGACATTTCTCATTTTAAAATTCAACATTTTAAATATAACTGGTCTTAAATGAAAGCCATATAAAGAAAAGTATCAAGCAGCATAAAACAGGCTTTACTGGAGACTGAATGGATGTTAGAGATTACTAATTCAAGTGAATAAATAAAACACTACTTGTACATCCTTTTCACACAGCTAAAATCAGAAAATGTGTATGAATAAAAGCTAGAAGAGAATAAAGAAAAATGAGAACAGGTAGAATAACACCAAAACCAACCAAAAAAAAATCAAGAAAAAAAAATTTACAGATCAGTATCTCTTAGAAACACATATGCAAAAATCCTAAACAAAGTATTAGCAAATCAAATCCAACAATATATAAAAAGACTTATACCATGAACCAGAGAAATTTATTCCAGGTATGCAAGGCTGGCTTGACATTAGAAAAGCAATTTTTTAAAAAGTAATTAATGAACAATTAATGCAATTCACCACATCAATAGGCCAAAAGAAGTATCATATGATCAAATCAATTGATGCAGGAAACATTACTGGCAAAACCCAACACCTATTCATGACCAACCACTCTCAACAAACTAGGAACAGAGCAAAGTTTCCTCAACTGGCTAAATAACATATATTCGAAAACCCACAGCTAATATCATACTTACTAGTAAGAAAGAACAAGGTAAGGATATCCTTTCTCATCACTCCTAGAAAACATCATATTGGAAATCTCAGCTTGTGCAATAAGGAAATAAAAGGTATGCAGACTGAAAAGGAGGAAAAGCCTGTCTTTCTCTATAGATAATATGATAGGTACATTAAAACAAACAAAAATCAGTAACAACAAAAAACTGAAATAAGCAGTTATAGCTAGATTTCAGAATACAAGAGAAATATACAAAAGTCAGTTGCTTTTCTACATACAACGACTGGAATTTGAAATTAAGAATACAATACCATTTATAATACCACAAAAAATTAAATGCTTAATTATAAGTCAAAAAATATATATACAGAACCTATATGCAAAAAAAACTACAAAACTAACAAAAGGAATCAAAGATCTAAAAAACCAGAAAAATAGTATGCATGCATGGAATAGAAGACAACATTGTCATGACTTCAGTTTTTCCTAAGTTGATACATACATTTAATGCAAACACAATTGAAATCTCAGCAAGCTATTTTGCAGCTATCAAAATAGTGATTCTAAAGTTTATGTATACAAAAAAAAAAAAAAAAAAAGACTCAGACTAGCCAACCCAATACCGAGGAAGAAAAAAGTTGGATGACTGACACTTCCCAATGTCAACACTTACTATAAATCTCTAATAATCAAGATAGAGTGGTATTCGTGAAAGAACAGACATAGGTCAATGAGATAAAATAGACACACACAAAGTCAAATGATCTTTGACAAAGCAGTAAAGGCAATGCAAGAGAGAAAGAATATTCTCTACAATAAATGGTGCTGTAACAACCAGACATCCATATGCAAAAAAAAAAAAAAGAATCCAGACACAGACCTTATACCTTTCGCAAAAATTAACTCAAAATGGATCATAAACCTAAATGTAAAATGAGAAATTATAAAACTTCTAGATGATAATATAAAAGAAAATCTAGGGGAACTTAGGTTTGTCAATGAGTTTTTAGATAAAACACCAAAAACACAACTCATGAAACGAAAAGCTGCTAAGTTGTACTTTATTAAAATTAAAAACTTCTGGTCTGTGAAAAACATTGTTAAAATAAAAACTCAAAAGTCACAGGCTGGGAGAAAATCTTGTAAAAGACATCTGATAAAGAACTGGTATCCGAAATATACAAAGACTTTTAAAACTCAACAATAAGAACACAAACCACCCAATTAAAAAGTAGGCAAAAGATCAGGTGCGGTGACTCACGCCCATAATCCCAATGCTTTGGGAGGCCAAGGTGGGAGGATCCCTGAGCCCAGGAGTTCAAGGCTGCAGTGAACTGAGATCGTGCCACTGCACTTAAGCCTAGGCAACAGAGCAAGACTCTGTCTATTTTTTTAAATGGAGGAGAAGGGGCAAATGATCTGAACTGAGACCTCACCCAAGGTGTACAAAGGCAGATGAACATATGAAAAGACACTCAACATCACTTATCATTAGGGAATTGCAAATTAAAATGAGATAATACCACAATACTACCACACTAAACAATACATACATACAAATTATTTAGCCCACTGAAGAGAGGGGTATCCTCCAACTCTCTATCCTCTCCTCTACCACCCCCACCCCAACTAGATCTTACGACAGTTCCTTAACTTAGTTTTCCAGGAGGCTCAGACATTCATTCCTAGAGAAGCCTCCTTAACTCACTTACCATTCTCTATTTACTGCCTTGAGAATTCTACTTCAAAATGTGGGACTGTTGTATTTCCCTAAACCTTAGTCAAAAAGGTCATGTCTTGGTATGATTAAATAATTTTGACCTTTAGAATCCTCTGAAAGGGCCTCAGGGACCCTGGGCATTACCAGGCCACACTTTTGAGAATCACTGTTATGCATCTATTTTGAAAATACAGGTAGAAGAGGAGCCTGCCAACTGTAAGCGGCAAATAGAAAGGGAGCAGGTTATAGGATTCAAAGTCAAAAGATCTGGATTTGAGCCTTAACTCCATTGTATACTTTTCTGGCTATTTGAACTAAGTAAGACAGTAATTTAGCTTCTTTTAAGAGTTTCCGTGTCTAGGCGGGGTGTGGTGGCTCACAGCTGTAATCTCAGCACTTTGGGAAGCTGAGGCAGGCAGATCACTTCAGTCCAAGAGTTTGAGACCAGCCTGGCAACAAGACAAAACCCCATCTCTACCAAAAATACAAAATATTAGCTAGGTGTGGTAGCACAGGCCTGTACTCCCAGCTACTCTGGATGCGGAGGTGGGAGGATCGCTTGAGCCTGGGAGGCAGAGGCTGCAGTGAGGCGAGATCACGCCACTGCACTCCAGCCTGGGCAACAGAGCAAGACCGTTTCAAAACATAAAAAATAAAAGTTTCAATGCCTGCATTTTTAAAACAGAAATCATACTACTGGTCAGTCTCAGCTGTCACTAGTTGTGAGAAACAACAATATGCAAATAAGGAAACTTTCCAGACTACAAAATGTTTAGGTCAGTTTTTGCTTTTAGTTTTCAGGGGTCTAAATAGCACATCCTAATAGATCATATCTACAAAATTACATCAGTAGCTAACTCAATAGCAGTTATTTAAACAGCGGTTATCTTTAATTTCCTCATACATAAATCTGTCATGTGATTAGCAATATTTAGTGGTTTATCCTTTACCAGTCTGCAGTTTTGCATATTTTGGATATGTGAAAGAATTAATAACGTAATTTTTCAGAAGTTCCTTGATTTCGAGGATTTAGCTGATAACAAGAAAAAAAAAAATAAAGCCCACCTCTACCTATACAAAAGAAAAACCACCTTAAAATGTTGGGAGGGAAGGAATGACTTCTGTGATTAATGAGCTATGTGGTACAATACCAAAGGCACTGTGTAGAAATGACATCAGTATTAATAGGCTGGCTTCCAGCCCAACTGCTCCCAAAATGGGTGCTTATTTACTCTAATAAAGTATACCTGTATCTTCACCCACCTGCTTCCATATACCTAATTTATCCCCAAAACATTGTTAAGGTTCAAAAGAACAGGAGACTGGAGAATCATAAGCCAGGCATCAGGTCGGTATTTGAGGGGATTTACTAGGAGATTCAAAGGTAGGAAGACTCAAAGTCTTCAGCAGATTTAAGAGCGCAGAACCTGAATTCTCCTCTCTTCCAAAGCAGCTGAAAATACCTCTCCCACATTGTACCTATACAATACAAAAATCTATCATTAGACAATTAACGTCCCAAATTTTTATTAACAGTTAATGGAGGCGCCCAAAGGTAATCCTTTTAGGCACCTGACACGAAGTCTGCATTGTGTTAAAATAACTTATTCCTGCAACTGTTTTGCTTTTTTGTTTTTTGTTTTTAACAGTTTCATGAAACACTTCACCAAAGTTTGAAAAACAGAA